TGGTGAGATTTTTGAAAATGTGATCGTGAGTAACATTGCTCTGGATTTTTATTTTATTTTCCTTGTCTAGCTAGATGTAGATTATTGGCTTAAAATAATAGGTGCATAATTTAATGCACCTTAAAATAAGGTGCATAATTTTATTTTGCTATGTTCTTGGAATAGTTGTCTTGAAGTTTTGTTAGAAGTCATCTATTAAGAAATGTCTCATCTTGTCATTTGAAGGAGGGATCAGGAGGGACCAGCATACAAATGTATTTCTTTTAAAAGTTATTGGTTTAAGTTTCTTAAAAAACAAATTTATTTGAGACAATTTTGGTAAGGTATATTTTTCTAGATAATAGTCTACTTCATCTATATTTTCAAAAGTTTGGTACGATGTTGTATGTGGCATTTTCTTGTTTTAAAATATCTCTCAGGGGCTTCCCTGGTGGTGCAGTGGTTAAGAATCCGCCTGCCAATGCAGGGGACACGGGTTTAATCCCTGGTCCAGGAGGATCCCGCACGCCGCGGAGCAACTAATTCCGTGCACCACAACTACTGAGGCTGCGCTCTATAGCCCGCGAGCCACAACTACTGAGCCCACGAGCCACAATTACAGAGGCCCGCATGCCTAGAGCCCGTGCTCCACAACGAGAAGCCACCGCAATGAGAAGCCCATGCACCACAATGAAGAGTAGCTCCCACTTGCCGTAACTAGAGAAAGCCCATGCGCAGCAACGAAGACCCAACGCAGCCAAAAATAAATTAATTAATTAAAATAAAATATCTATCTGTTCATTAAGTTATGCCTACTTTGTAATTCTTAGTGTTGTTTATTTGTTCATTTCCTGACCGATCCTGAATTTCTCCTGCTCACTCTGTTCAGATTATGATCTATTTTTAATCCTCTCAAAGTTTAAATATATATATTAACTATGTGTTTTTCTAACAACATGTGACAGTATTCGGTACCTCTAACTTTCTCCCTAAACTACAAAGACTTTAGCATATTTAACCTTTCCTGTTCATATTTCTTATTGTTATAGGCAGATTTAGTATGTTTGTGATTGACAATGAATTAACTTTGGTAATATGTTTTTAATTCTTTTTCTCTGTTCACTATTGTCTCTGTCATGGCACACACATTCAATTCTTTTTGTCTATGTTTATTTGCTTCCTGCAAATATACCTTTTATAGTACTTTTAGTAAGCATATGTGGTTTGTAAAGTCTCACCTGTCTTTGTATTTCTCTATTCTGTGCTCCCTGTTGAATGATAATTCAGCTGGGTATAGAACTGAAGTTGATATTATTTGTCTCTTGGTGATTTGAAAGCTGTTATTCTGCGGCCCTCTGCTCTGTATTGTTGGTGTTGAGAAGTCTATTCAAATAACTGCCATTCTTGTTCGGGTAATTAGTTTTCCTCATTATTAGTTTAATATCTTCCCCCTCTATCTAGGTGTGGATTTTTTAAAATCTTTCATGGGATTTAAAATGGATAATCGGGCTTCCCTGGTGGCGCAGTGGTTGAGAGTCCGCCTGCTGATGCAGGGGACACAGGTTCGTGCCCCTGTCTGGAAAGATCCCACATGCCGCGGAGCGGCTGGGCCCGTGAGCCATGGCCGCTGAGCCTGTGCGTCCAGAGCCTGTGCTCCGCGACGGGAGAGGCCACAACAGTGAGAGGCCCGCGTACCGCAAAAAAAAAATAAAAATTAAAAAAATAAATAAAATGGATAATCAATCTAGAGACTCCATACCTTTCTTCACTCTGAAAAATTCTCAGCTTTTAGCCACTGTCTCTATAAACATTGTTTTTGGTCCACTTCCTCTGGTCTTGGTGTCCTTCTGTTCTTAACTAGATTTTGACTTATCCTGGACCTTCAAAGTCTGTCTACCACTTTACCTAACTCCTCTTTTGTATTTTCAAAAAATCTCTTTGTCTTTTGGGGACACATTCTGAGTAAATGCCACAGTACTGAGATTCAATTCTCTAATTGTCTTTGGAACTAGAATGTTTTGGAAGTTGGGTTTGTAGGCAGAACTTGTCAAGAAGGATCTCCATGCCTCTGTTTCTTTCTCTCTCTCTCTCTCCCTTTCACACACACACACACACACACACACAGACACACACACACACACTCTTTACTGACTTTTCTAGGAACCGCAGTTGTGCACGTCTTCCCCAGAAGCCCACTCCTGAATCCCAGCCTCTGCAGGTCCAGAGCCCCTACTCTGAAGTGATATTGGGGATATAACTTGCATTCATTCATGCAGTTAACCCAAGTGAAGCACAGCTGTTCTGAGGGGCACTGTGCCAGAAGGACCCTCCAACCCTGGCCGTACAGCCCTGGCCACCACATTTCTACTGGCCCTCTACCAAGAACTCAGCATGACTCCTTTTATTATTTTTTTTTCCAAGGAAGACACATTTTACTATAAGAGAAAGGCAATAAGTGGACGACTGCGTAAACAGAAAAGTGGAAACGCAATGTTAGAGTTATACACTGTAGATTAGACATCAAACCCAACTTGGGGGTAAATTTGAGGAGTGCTTATTGGCTCAAAATATTCTCTCAGCACTGAAATTTCACTTATATTCTTTATTAAAGTTGGTTATTCCCCCACACAAGTCCCCCAGACGTGGATGGCGAGGAATAATTCTGAATGCTTTCTGAGCCTCAATTCTCAAAATCAATGGGTCAGCAAGACCCGACATTATCTCCTTTATATTTTTAGAATCTTGCTTCTTTATATCCCATCTAATGACCTCATAATCTTTACTATGGTAATAGTCCCCTCATTATTCATCCTGATCTAATATTTATGTAAGAGTTAAATCCCATTTTTTAAAATGCTGTTAAAGCTCACTCTTATTTCACAATATAATGAGTTAACTTTTTCAAGGAGGCTATCCTTTTATAACACTTAGTTTGGGCCAGTCACGTTCTACAAGGCTTTACGTATTTATTCACCTAATGATCACAATACTCCTGTGGTGTAGATGCTATTAACAGGCTTACTTTACAGCTGACCAAACTAAAGCACAAAAACATTATGTCACCTTCCAAAAGTCATGGAGCACGTAAGTGGCGCGCTGGTCCCAGAGACTGTGCTTTTGACCGTTACAGGTAACCACAATATCCAGGTCATACCACCTTTGCCTCTAAGGTTAACAAACCGAAAGTTTGCATCTTTGTAAGGCTTTGAAGTTCTTTTGGGACAGAATCTAGCTCATTCATCTGCATACCATCCAGGGCTGCTTTCAAACTACTATGGTGGCAGAATTGAGTCATGTTGACAGAGACCTTATGACCCTTAAAACTAAAATATTTACTGTTCTGGCCATTTGCAGAAAAAAGCTGCCAACTCCTGCTGTAGAGCACTAGTTGTGCCTCCTGCAAGCAGTCTTCTTAAGTGAGGGTGTCTTCCAAGCTCTGAGGGGCAGGTTTGCACAGGCCGGCGATGCCCGTTTGTGGGCTGACATGATGAGACACACTCACACTCGACTTCAGGCTGAGCTCACAGAGCCTGGACCCGTGGTGTTGGAACCGAAAAGGACCCTGGAGGCCACCTTCATCTGTGAACAAGACCACCAAGAACCTACAGGTGCGCAGACCTGAGCTGGTGGAGGAGCCAGCCTTAGCCTTCGATTCTCTTTAAGCTGCGGCTAATAGAGTGTCGGGAATTCTAGAGCAGACCTAAAACTGACATTCAGTACATTATTTTGAGATTAAATAAAACCTGCACTCCAAGGATTGAGTGCCAGTTTTCACAGGGGCGTGTGAATAAATGCCCCTGCAGAGTCACTGTGCTTTGCAATTTATTTTTTTAAATTGAAGTATAGTTGACTTACAATATTGTATTAGTTTCAGGTGTACAGCAAAGTGATTCAGTTATACATGTGTATGTATATATCTATATTCTTTTTTTGATTCTTTCCCATTATAGGCTATTACAAGATACTCAGTATAGTTCTCTATGCTATACAGTAAACCCTTGTGGTTTATTTTATACATGGTCCTGTGCATCTGTTAATCCCATACTCCCAATTTATCCCTCCCCTCCTTCCCCTTCGGTAACCATAAGTTTGTTTTCTATGTGCAATTTGTTTAAAGAGCAAACTGCTATATGGCAGGAGTGTCTGGTCTGCAGCCTGCTTGGTGCTTGTATGTCGGAAAGATTACGAGGCAACCCAGCACGATTTTACCTACAGGTCATCAAGGCTAGTTTACTAGTCCGTTGAACTGCCCCAGGGGATCATCAAATTCTACCTTAGGTAAGTTTTGCAACAGTGTGACAATAATTTCAAAAGGTTTAAGTGAAAGAAATAGCCAAGTTTTTCCCCCTCTCAATTTTTAATTAGTGATATTAAATTACAGAAATACCAAAAAAACAAAAAACAAAAAAACCATTGACCATGAAGTCCATCTGTCTTTTAGGCTCATGCAGATTGTCTGAAGTGGCACCAAAAGGGTATTCACGTGGGAAGAGGAATTACCAGCATGAAGCTCCAGTCGCCCCTTCCATCTGCAAAGTGTGGACCTCGAGTCTCCCTGTGGGAGCTGAGTGAACACAGCATCCCTAAGCCCACAGGACCCTGAGCCATACTCAAAATTACATGCAATAAACCTCCTGGAGATGCTTTGTCCTATTTCATTTTGAACTCGTGTCCCTTCGGAGCCAAGTTCACTACATTTCTGTAGCTAAAATTGAATGTGGGAGCATATCGTGTTTTATACTGATTGCGATACCACTGTGTCCTCTCACATTTATTTGTTGGTCATTAGCAGATCTGTCTTGTCCTCTCAGTTCCTAATTTTGACCAAAGTGGCTCATCCCAGATACATTAATCCTTTTGCTCAGTGAGTTTCCTTTATATTTAAGAACTGAATGCATCAAGCTCCCTAAGTATCTATAATGAGCAAAACTCTATCATATTTTAGCTAATGGCTGTATTAACTTTGTTATCTCTTTGTAGAAGCGCAGAGAGAAAGCTGCACGTGTACAAAGGGAACGTACCTTAACAGAAAGGGAGTGCTGTGGCTCGCATTTTCCACCGTATCACACGCAAACCCGAGGAGGTGTCGCGGTGGCCAGTGGGGACGGTGTTCCCCGGTGGCACTGTCTTTCCCTGCGTAGACACAGTGGGCAGGTGTCATGATTAGACTTGACAGCTTGAGTTTGGAACTCCGAAGGGAACGCCAAGGACAAGGAGGTAGTGAGGTGGAAGGAGAGGAGCTGGGGACCATGGGAAGGAGGGGCTGCGTGGGAGAACTTGGGCTGCTGCCAGGAGCCACTGCCAGGGCTGGGGTCCAGGGAAATCTGGCCACGCTCTCCCCCAAATCTGGCCTCCCGGGAGCTGGAAGGGAGACACCAAGGATAAGGTACACACCACTCTATTTGCTATTTGAGGGGTTTGTTCGCTTTTCTGTTTTAATGACAATGATCAGAGTTGCCTGCAGTGCAAGTTCCGGGGCACAAGGTTTATACCAAGGAGAGACTGAAATTCAGAAACTGCATGTCACTCTTTACCTGGCTCTTACCCGACACGTACACAGTTCCTGATGGAATACAAGTACAGTAGGAAAAAATATCTCACCCCCAATATTTAGGGCCTGATCCTTTCTGAATTTAAGACACTTCCAGAGTTGGGATACATTAAGCCTCAAAGCTTACAAAAATTAAAACAAAATTACCTGGTAAGGTATGGTATAAACCATGTAATTTAAATTTCCTAAGAAATGAACAGTTTTACAACCATTATTATATGACTATATTTGATCTCAACTTGTAATTGCTTAACATATGCACATGCTAAGAACATCTTTTCTAGTCAGGACATATAGATTAATTCCATTGTTTTTATTGGATGCAGAGTATGTCACAGCTTGGATATATCAAAATTTATTTAACTCTTTCCTTACTGATGGTCATTTAATTTGTTGAATTTGTTACCATGTTTTGTTTTTTGATACTAAAACTAGTTTTGCAATGAAAACAAAAAAAGAAATGAACAGTTTTTAATTGCATTGTTAGAAGACCTTTTATTCTATACAAATATATCATAAAATCATGGATATGTATCAAGGATCTCTCTTTTTCAGTCATTTGAAAACATATGGGTTTATCTAATAGGAGAACATAATGCAATAAATCTAAGTGCATACCCAAATATATTTTAATTGCCAATTATTGCACTGAAAATAAACATTTGCATTAGATACTCATTTCTGTAAAAAAGTAATGCTATAATTTTTAAGTCGTATTTATTCAAAGCAAATACTTTTTGATATACAGGTGGGCTGTGACAAAATCGTATCATCATGATTAAAATCCGCAGAAACCTAAGGAAGAGAAAAACGAGCCCTTTGGAAAAGATTCACCCAAGGCAGCAGTATACTATGTTATGCCTCTATCTTCCTAACTTCTATTTTCACCTGGAGAGCCATCTTCTTTACGGCAAAGATCTGTGTTCCATGAAATTGATTAGATGTTTTTAACAAGAAGTCATTTTTGACCCATTCATTATTACCCTCACAACCCTGAATGTTACATGTAGTCACTACCCAGTCATTTGTAACCTGGTAACTCACAGCATCACCGCTCATGCATTCATCATTACACCATCTCAGCATCACCAGCCATCACAGCAGCATCACAGCAACACCAACCATCACAGCATCATCTCAGCATCACCAACCATCACAGCATCACCAATCAGCTAATGCAGCAACTCCAACCAACTCACGCCCACTAACCATCACAGCATTGCCGTACCACCAGAACATCATCAGACAATTGGAACATCACCATACCACCAAAAATTGTCTTTTAATCAATCCAATGATAATATTTTAAGAATAGAGTATAAGGAGAAATTTTTATGGAACAATTATGCATGTTTCCTGGGAGTCCAGACTGAGATATATAAATGATCTGCAATTCTCTGAGAGATTGTAACACAGAAAGTCTGGTCTGATACATAGATTTGGTTAATACTTTAACAAGAATTGATAAGAATGGAATATATATGAGGGAAATATCAAGAGAGAATGTCAGCAATAATTAGAAAATATCACTGAAAGAAGGAAATCAGCTCTCAGAGGAGCTAGAATCACACCAACAATAGTTGTTGCCCATTTCCTAGTTTTGCCAGCTTGGATACCCTACCACACCTGTTTTTATAATCCAAACAACTTGCTACTAAATGCAGTCTCCAAGACCTCTTGTGTGCATGTGTTTTAACTTTATACCTACCACTGCTCAGAGCCACCTTCCTTGAATTACTTCAGTACCTGCCAAGTTTTTTGCCCAGGTTTGATCCAGTTGTTGAAAACTAACAGCTAGAAGAGCAAATCTGCTGGTGACACTGCATCACTGCACCACTGAATCGTGTACGGAGTTCCAACAAGCACCTAGGCCTTACATGGCAACTGTCAGAGTCAACAGGTAAATCTTTCAGGATCTAGTCATTTTAAAAACTGTCCCACCTCAGAAATTAGATGTCCATCACTTATGGACAGTATTTGTGATCAGAAATCTGAGTAAGAGGTCAAGTGATCTATGGTTAAGGCTATGACACTGATTTGAACTCTTACAGGAGTCACAACTTAAAGAAAGAAAGAAACTATCATCAAAATAGGAATGCCTTTGAAGTGTATATAAATTGTATTTAAATTGCTGTGAAAATCAAAAAATAGTTATGCCATTATCATATTAAACATACTCTTTGTTCCCTTTTCTTTGTTGATTTCATTAGAAAAAAATACTGGATTTGCTTTTTAAAAAAAAACCCAGTTCATTCTAAATTAGATTTTGTATGAACTGGAATGTTTCAGGGAGAAGAAAGGGGTAAGTCGGAGAAGAAGATCATCCAGAGACTCTCTGGGTTTCTCCCTTTGATGGATTCAGATACTCTCCCACACACTTCTATCAACTGATGTAAAATGTAGACCTACAGCATATGTGTAAACACGACTCCAAAGACGACTGAGGTGATCCTCTTTCCAGGATGGAATCTGAGTCTTTTTTTTTTTTCAATTTTTTTTCAATTTTTTTTCAATTTTTTTTTTTGCGGTGCGCGGGCCTCTCACTGCCGTGGCCTCTCCCGTTGCGGAGCACAGGCTCTGGACGCGCAGGCTCAGCGGCCATGGCTCACGGGCCTAGCCGCTCCGCGGCATGTGGGATCTTCCCGGACCGGGGCACGAACCCGTGTCCCCTGCATCAGCAGGCGGACTCTCAACCACTGTGCCACCAGGAAAGCCCCGGAATCTGAGTCTTGTATGCCCCGTGCGTGTGCTCAGCTGAGCTGTGCCCCAACCCCTCATGCAGACCCTGCCCCGAGATCCCAAATCAGCCAGTGTGGGAAGCGCCCACCGAGAGCACAGTGTTGCCCCATGCCCTCCCCTGTCCACACCGCTTCAGTTTTAACATCACTAGTTAATCTAAGTCTTATTCCCTTCTGTTTGCATGGACACGGCTCCCTCTCAGAATGTGTCACCCAAAGCACAAACTGAGTCTCTCCTCAGTGGATGCCCAGAGCCAAGTGTGGTACCCAACACAGGGTTACTGTTTGTTCAACGGTCAGTGACTCACAGAAGGGATGAACGGATACAGAGAACGGCTCACACCCATTTCCCCGCCCATCGGATGTATTCACTCATCACAAAATTTCCATGACAACCCATAGCTGCTTTCCCACTTCAAATAGCACACCCTAAAAGCCGTGATTCCACATGCTTAAAATAAGGTAATTGTCAAGAATAAATTTCCCCTAGAGCGAAATTAAGGGCCTGTCCAAATGTTTTTCAGATTATTATAACTGTGCAGTACTGCTTATCAATCCGAACTATCTACAGAAATGGGCTCTAACTCAGCAAACAGACGAATTTACCCGGCTCCATTTTAAGATTAAAAGCAAAATTACAAGTTAAAAGGAGAACCCGTTTGATTTTTGATACTCACTGTACCTCCTTACTAGAAAATTATACGTCCTGAATACTCGACATGCCAATACTCCTTCTTAATTGAAAAGTAAGATTCATATATGAAGGCAGAGTTTTTTTTTATCATTTTGAACAACTAAAATATTACAAACGAATGACACGAGTGTGAAGAGAAAGAGAACGAAGCAGAGCTCTTAACCAGTGCCATTTCTGTAACAGCTCCCACTTGGGAAAATAACCTTGTTCAGCATCGCTGGGGAATGCTAACCCCTCCATTAAGTAAAAGGAATGATATTGGTTGGGATGACTCAGAATTGCCTTGGCACTTAAATAAATTCACGGGGGGTATATGTGTTCTTAGTACATGTGTTTATCTAATACCTAAAACTTCTGTTTAAATAGAAAATGGTCACAAACTGTTTCTTTTTATCTTGTAAGGCAGAAAAATGGCATGTGAGTGCCGGCCAGGAAAATAGCCCCTGCATAAGTGAATAAACACCCTTATCTTCCCCACAGTAATGGACGTGCCAGTTGATCTCCCCTCTGGCGCTGGAAATTATTCATCCAGTGTACTCTTAAATCTACCATTGTTTCCTGGTTTTTGAAGATTTTCCCAAAAGGCATTAGCTAATTTATCCGACTGATTTCATAATGAGAAGTGGATTAATTACCTCTCCCCATCTTTGTCTCCAATCAACTCTCCCTCTACAAATAAAACTACCTAAATATATGTAGGTAATGAGAACAGAGAGGAAAAGCTAAGATTCTGCATTTAGGAATGAGTCTCAAGTCTGAGAAACTGTCCTAGTCCAGAGGACCCTCAGTGGATACGATGACGCCTTGTAACAGGGAATCCAGGATGGGATTGGTAAGAACTAAGGAAATAGGAACAAACTATGGACTTTAGTTAATGACAATGCATCAATATTGGTTCATTCACTGTGACAAACGTGCCCTAGTGACAGAAGATGTTAATAATGGGAAAGTGAGCCTGGGGTGTATGGGAACTCTATACTACCGTCTCAACTTTTCTGTAGATCTGTCTATTCTAAAACAAAAATTATTTTAAAATGCTTTCTCTTACTGACTGAATTATTTTGACCCTGATGAAATATATTTAGACTATTATGCTACAGTCGAAATTAGTCTAAAGATTTTTACAAAAATCTCATCAACTAAGAGATAGAGCTGAACTGTGACAAAACACCGTCTTCCTTTGATTTTATAAAACAGTGTATTTTTCTATGCTTATCTTCATGTGATTAATAAAGCATGCAGGTGAAATGAGCTGGCAGAATTCACCAAAGTTGTAGAACATTTTGAGTTGCTACATGTAAAATAATTATGAATCAAATTTAGGAACTACACAGAATAGTCTCTTCCGGGGGACCAAGGCACTGTGGAAATGGCTCATTTTTATTAATATTCCATCGTATTCAATAGGTGACAATGGTAGGAAGTCCCCATATTAAAACTAAGCACAGGGTGTGGGGTGGTCCATGACGGTGAAAAATACGTGGCTTAACCAGGTCATAACTGGGCCAGGAACTGCTTTTTGGGACACAATGCCCTAGAAACTGAACAATTACAGGAATCAAAAACGACCAGAGCCTTTCTGAGCCTTTTATCAAATGATTCCGCAAGACGACTCATTTCTGAAGTCTTTCTCTCACTTACTAATAAATAACTTCCATAGATGTGGGTGATGAACGTGTGTATACGCGCTTGGAACTTTTAATATTTTACTCTCATAAAATTTGTAGAAGTGAGGGGCTCTGCAGTTTTCTTTTATTCCAGAAATAAGCTTTCCATATAATCTAATGGAATTACGTGTGCCTGTATCCTTGTGTGCGTGTGTGTGTGTGTAGAAGCAGGTCACAAGTGATGCAGACTCGCAGATACACTGAGAAAGCTATCAACCAAGTGAATAAATCAGAGACTGTACGTGTTCCTGCCCTTACCCTGCAGAGCTAGGTTATCATTTATGGGTTGTTTAGATTTCTTACCCCCTCCTGTAGGGAAGAGAATTGTGTGCATTCTTCCTCATGCTTAGATGTGTGTAAAGTAGCCCTAAACGTTCCTTGAGAAAGCAAACATTGTATTTAATGCAGCACATTAACATATGTTACAAATTTTGAAATGGACTTTTTTCCTTTGTGATAAATCTGTGCTAACAGTGGGTTCTTCTCAGCATCCTCCAGTGTGGCTGGTCCCTTGAAAAGGTTTCTAACGAACAGGGGTCTGTGGAAATCCAGCCAGGAGAAGTGTGAGCCCACGCGGCCTACTTCACCTGACGGCCTGTTGGCAAATGGAGAAAATCCCGAGATCAGTTCACCCCACACTGTGATTCCCAGAGCACAGACTGGTCGGGATGCTTGGGGGAAAGTGCGTCAGGGTGAAGTTTTCCTTGTTGAGCTTCTTTACAGAAGGGGAAGAGGAACTGAATATCCTGAATCCGGTCCACGTGGGGCTCCCACTGGTGTAAAGGGAGGATTTGAACACGAAAGGAATGTGAGTTGTTCACTCAAACTCCTGCAGGGTGTGTGTGGCCCAGATTCCAGCCCTTCACAAACAGCCTGAATCAGGGCTCCAGACAGGAAAATGAAGCCCATCCCGGAGGCAGTGCCCGTTTGAGCACCCTCGATTTTTTAAAGACGTTTTGAATAATTTTTCTTCATTTTCTTGTCTTCATGGTGAATTACGGCATCCCCCCTGCTATTTATAGCGTTTGCACATCAGTCTAAAGACCGGGATAGGGTCTACTTCTGCAGCACAGAGGCTGCCCTTGGATGACGGGTCACGTGTGTCAAATCCACGCCAACGTGTGACAAAGCGCTCTTGGAAGGGCCAAGATGTGAAGAGACTACTGGAAAGCACACATGTGGTTTTTGAAAGAAAGGGGAGAAAGAAACGGCACATTTCCATCCCCAGCAGACAGAGAGTCCAGCAGAAAGTGCTTCATTTTCAATAAAACTTCTCAGGCTCCACTGAAACCTGGATCAGGTTTATTCCTAGTGATGCCCCTGGTGGCCCTGCAGTGGGAGTGATCACAGGGGTGACTTGCCCCCCACCACCGATATCGTGGGGATCATAAAGGGCCCCTGGGGAAAGTAAACCACAGTTCATGTCCCTGTAAAGGGAGCAGAGGAGGCAGGGACCCCGTGCTCTCCCCAGACCCCGGCCTGTGTCTTCACGTCCTAATGGGATGTAACAAATGGACTGAACCCCGAGGCCATGGGGCTCACGCTTACACGCGTAATGATTTTAAAATGTGTGGCTGCATCTTGAAGAAGAACAGACCTTGACATAAAATCCGTTATCAAACGATGGTAATTGACACAGAGACAGGCTGCGCTTTACACTGGGTTGTAATGAATCTGCTTGGCTGACCCCAGAGCCTGCACTTCTGAGCACCCACGACTCACGACCTGATGCTCTGTCAACTGCTCCAGGAGAGATGAATTACGGATGAGGTACTAATGACGCATTTCATCACCTGTTTACCTTCAGTGATCAGTGGCCCTCCTTTAATTTACCAGAAAGACGTTTTTTGAAGCTACTGTCAGTAAGAACGGCCTCTTGTTTGAAGTGGTTATAAAGTAACACATACCTGAGGAAACTTGGCTTCTGGTTCTGGTGCTAAAGTTCTACAGGAAGAGAAAGAGAAAAAAAAATCAGGGTTTTCTAAACAAGAGAGGAAAGGTTAACACTTGTGATTTCTTCCATTAGGTTTTACTTCTCAAACAAGGGCCGCCAATAGAGTTAACCCATCAGAATACGTTCTCATGATTTAGGACCAATACTGAAGCAGAAGTCCCATAGGCCCTGTGCTGCACTTCATGTCAGCATCCATTCCTAATACGTGGAGGGTCACAGAGGCACCATCACAGAAAAGAGAGATCAAAAGAAGTGGGTTGAGATCCCAGCTCTGTGTGGCTTCGGTAGCCACTTATCCTACCGCATTTTAAATTTCCTCAAACGCCTTTCCCACTGGATCGTTGTGCAAATAATAAGACAAAATTAGAAAATGGTTTTATACTGTCTGGTACCAAGCCAGCAGCCGTGCCATTCTCCGTTCTCTTGCATTTTAACAGCTATTAACTTTCAATCCTATTGATTTCAAATCAACAGATATTTGTGCTGCAGCGGATAGAAATCATCATTAAGGAACCATAATAACAAAATAACTATAATAAAAGGTAGAATAAAACAGGCAATTTCTCTAAGAACTTTCTTTCCTGTTTATTTCAGTTTTAGGTTTGCTTTCTTTTTCCATTCTTCATTCATTTTTATATAACAATATTACATTAAATCTCATGAAATCTAGTTTAATATGTCCTAGTTTTGAATCCTAATGTAATTCACCCCTGAAAAAAATCACAAAGTTGCACTAGCTTACAATTACCTCCCACACAGAATCCAAACTCTACCTGGTGGGTGAAGCCGTGTGCATTTACTAACCGTATCAGCAGACACTGAAGTTACACGTGACAGAACTCAACTCAAACCAGCTTGATCTGGTGGGGGACATACTGGCCCCCTTGCCTAAGAAAGGGGCAAACGGCCTTGGGCATAGAGGGATTCAGGAATGCAAACATCTCCCCAGGAAGCCTTCTCTTCTTCACCTCCAGGCTCTGTTTTCCATTTTCTTGGCCTCCTTTTCAGGCAGGCAGTCTCTCTCTCTAGGCTGGCAAGATGGCCCAGTGGCAGTTCTGGGCTTACAACGTCCCTACAGCCAACAAATCCAGCGAGAATAAATCATCTTTTTCAGGAAATTCTAGCAAAACCCTTAGAAAGGTGGTGCCTGGTCCAGTTGGCTTATGGCCCCTTCCCTGAACCAATCACTGTGGCCGGTTGGTACAGACTCTGATTAGCCACCTCTATGACTGAAAGGGAAGGAGACCAAGCACATCACACACATTCAATGGGTTTTCTATAAAAAAAAGACGTGTTCAGTTACAAGGAAAATTATAGAAGAGAGTAATGGCTAGTCGGTGATACCCCTGCTCTGGTCCTGAGGCTGACCTGGCTCCGACCTTCATTCTTCCTTGGATACAACTTCTTGGGGAGAGGGCAGTACGGTCCTCGGCGACCTTCACTCAGGACACCGACCCTGCCTCCCAATGTTCTCCTTCCCGGAGAACTTCCGTTTTTACTCTGCCCCGTTCTCCTTCCCGGTCCCTAAATCCTCACGCCTCTCTGCACCTCTCTGGTCAGTGACTTGTTTGGCCTCGTAAGCTGATTCCTGAACAAGGCTGTCCTTATCAGGCTACCGGATCCCTGTCACCCTCGTCACCTCCATGAATCCTGTCCAGCCTGGTTTCTAAGGAACCTGCACATACGTCCCCAAAACTGTTTCCCAGCTTCTCTCTTACTGCTCTCCAAGCTCCAGAGACAAATGTGCCCAAAGACAAGCAGACTTTCTCTAAAGTAGGCCTCTTTTGCCTAACTCCTTGTGAGTTTATTTTCTGTCACTTTTTTTATTAGCCTAAACTAATATACTCCTCAATTTCTCGTTCCATTAAATCTATTCATGTTTTTCTAACCACCTCCCCCCCCCCTTATTTCCTGACTACTGGACTCTGATATTACTTTAAAGGCCACAGAACCATTGGAAAATGGAAAATGGTATGGATTTAGATTTGGAAGGCACGGGCTCAAGGACCAATTCTACCACTTCTAACTGGGGACTCGCTGCAAATCACTCCCCACGGGGACAGCTCAGCATCAGTGAACTGCGACACTGTCCTTAGAGCTTGTTGTGAGGCTCAGATGAGACAGGGCATGTCTGTCAATTGCAAATATTTTTCAATTGTATGTTTCAATTTTTATACTATTTATTATTTATTTCACATACTTGTTTTCCTGATAGTTTGGTTTTGCTACTTCCACCAAATTAGACATATTTGAAGGAGACCAGGAATTATGAACTATATTCTGCTAGCATAGCTTCAGGAACACAGTAGATGCCCAATAAGTATTTTATTTCATGCTTGGCTCTGAAATATAATGTAAGGAGAAATACTTGGCAGTTTTGAGCCTTTAAAATTGGAGTGTCAACCCTACTATCACTATAACTTTAACACCAAAGTCAAATCTTATCATTTAGGCAACATGGAATAGATGAACAGAATTCCATTTATGTAGAACTGTCCAGAGGGAGCCATTAATTCATTTTCTCTTGAGGAATGAGAAGGAAAGGCAATTGCAGTGTAAAATTAATGACTCGTATGTCATTATAAAGCTGGGAATACCTGCTGAACTTGTAACTTAATTTTGGATTCAAGGAATAGATTATATTCGCCCAATCGTATCCTTCTGCATGGAAAGCAGAGAAAACCAATGTGGAGAATGAGTGACAGACAGACACAGGGAGACACACGAATAAGATGTGAAAACACCATCCTCGTTCAAGTGTCCCTCAGCTTAGACTGCTTTCCAGTCTCGTGTTTTATGAGGCACCTCAGCATCCTTGTAATAAGTTCCCATATTTACTTAAGATCATCTGAGTTGGATAAAAATCAGCCCTGATAAACAGTTTAATAATATCATTTCCAATACACGAGACAAGTAAAAATTCTACTATTATTCACTTCATGAAGGAAGACAAAATACTAGGTTCATGATATTAGGATAAATATTAGGATGAAAAAGGTGAGGGAGGTTTTATTTCTGTGTAGGGTGGGCACCTACCAGAGGACAGAATAGCTCTTTCCAGGCACAAGGAAGCTAGTTTCTTTACTAATAGATTGTACTGGTTGAGTCTAGAGTCCCACGCTGGACACTCAGATTTGAACCAAGCCCCAGCACTGTGATTTAATAGCTGCATCACCGTTCACCAATCACAGAACCTTTCTGTCCCTCCTTTTCCTCTTAGTAAGAGGCAACTAGCAATGAAATCCATCACGTAGCGCTGTTTGGATGATGAGATGTTGAAATGTACCAAGCACGCTTAGTATGTGCCTGGAATGCAGTAATATTCAGTAGCTATAACTGTATTTATGACTGTGGAATTAGGGGGTTTTGCAGAGTTGAGGTTAGCGGTCTGCTCTTGAAAGCAAAATATCTTAGAATTAACGAGTAGCTCCAGTCTGTTGAAGCTGCTCCCACAACAGCTCAGAGCAGCATTTCTCCTCTCAGTGCCCAGCCTTGGCAATGTCTCCACCTCCACAGCTGGGCTTGCACTTGAACCCATTCCATCAGGAGCATCCCCTCAGTTTTCTCAATCCTTTACATCCTTAGCCCTGTACCACAACCACTGACATTCCAATCCACGCTACTACAGCATCAAGAACCTCTAAGAAAATACAAATATTATTTACTAAACCCGATTCACTATGGGATAAACATGCACTGGTGTATATAACAGGGAGATTTTCTTCAAAGCAAAATAAAGCAAAACAAAATTTTAAAAAGCACTATCTTAATTATTCATTTCCGACCTCAAGTTTCAATTAATGGAAGGCCTCATTCTATAAACAGTCCCATGAGTGACCAAGTGTCTACTTATCAGTCCATCTTCACTGCCATTTATCAACCTACCAGTTAAACCTGTTTATCATTCCTCGTGATCCTTAGTCCCAGTATGTTGGATCTAATTCTATCTTTAAAGCATGATCTACCGGGTACACTAGTGAAGTCCCAAATTATTGTTAACCCAGATATGGACTATTTCCACTGTTTAGCAAACCTAACCAGAGTTTGGGGAGGATTCTAAAGGAGATTTAATTAAATCCTCCCATTTTATTAGACTTCAGCATTTCTGGTAAGAGTTGAGTGTGGCAGAACACTGCAGTTGGGGCTGAAATAAAATCTAGAGCCTGTCTGCAGATCTCATTTAATTATATTACTGCTTCCATGATGAACATGGAAATTAGGTGTTGACTGGAGAATCTGAATCACAAAGAATGACCTCTAAATAAAAGAGCTTTTAAAAACCTTAATTTGATGTCTTGGTTGAAAGATGCTAAAAATAAAATTAAAACTAAGCTCTTTCAGGGGAAATACTAAAATATTCTCATCTAGCCAGCAAAAGTACTCTAAAATCACATGCCAATTATACAGCTTTTAAGTTTATTTTTTTAATATTTGTTTCTTGTAGAAGTAAACAGTTAATGCAATCTTTTAAAAATAACTCTCAGTATTAAATGGCCTTGCGGCTCCTTCTCTATGTACTTACAAATGTTGGTGTATAGAGACCTCACTTGAGTGATCATTTTCAGCTTAGAATCATCAGGGAAAAAAGTACAGGTCATGGTCTGAAAATGAAACAGTGGTATTTTAACTTAGCTTTTTAAAAAAATTATTTATTTTTGTCTTACTTTAACATGGTCACATGTTAATATATATTTTCCCTAAGTTATATAGAGCATAAAGATTAATTTGCTGGGGTTTTTTTTTTTTTTTTATGTTCGTCTTCTGTACCCATACGTAGGGCTACCAGTTGCTAGAGAGAAAAAATAATTTTTCTCCTTCCCAATATGGTGGTAGAGAATTACACTCTTAAACCTCCCAAAAATCATTAAAATCCATTATCTGCTAGTAGAGAAAGTGATTTTCCTTTATTTGTAGTTATTCATACAATAAATCTAACTAACTCTTGAGAGCTAAGTCCAGCCCTGAGTATGAATTTCTAC